AGGACGGTAACGATTTTCATGTTGATGGACAACTGATTGTCTTCTGTTCCCGTGACAGGCTTTCTAATTTATTGTCGCCTTATCGCTGTACGTTATGTAATATGTTCTACTAAATTATCTGCGTTGAATAACGTCTTAATAGCTATTAACTTTTTACGCAATGTTCGAGATGCGGGTAATTTTTTTTTAATTGATTTTTGTCCCTTTTTAATTTATACATTATTGTCTGTTCAACTAAGAGTTCGAAGTTTTGAGTGAATAATTATTATGTTTCCATCCGATTGTTTAGAATCTAAAGTTTAGATATTCAGATGCTGTTGATTTTAAGCTTCAGTACGGCGGTAGATTTAATTAGATACATGATATTAAAAAGTCTTGGTTTGTTTCGGTGCAGCACCCTATTATTATTATTTTGGATACGATTTTTCTCTGCGTTTTGAATTAACGATATAGAAATAAAAAAATTACTCCTTTTTTTTTAATTATTGTACGGAACGCCGACCGCGTCACAAACGCCGCGACCGAACGCTAAATTTGCATTTGCCACCGTTGCCGCGTTGGGCGCTCGGCATTGAACAACGCAGTGAAAATTGATTGCGCTTCTAATTGAAGTGGTGGAACGCGGACGTGTTCGCTTCGGTGTGAGAGGTTGCGGCGCCCGTGGGAGCCTTCTGCCCTAATAACACGAATCGAACTGATGACATCGGATTAAAACTCTGCGATTCTCGCACGAAAGCAAATTCACTCTAAGTAATTTAATTGTTTAACATCTTAATTAATAGTGGGTTTTTTTATCCCCCTTGTAGACAAACGAGCATACGGCCCACCTGATGGTGAATGGTTATACAATCGCCCATGGACTTCAGCAATGCCAGGGGCAAAGCCAAGCCGTTTCCTACCGAATTTTATGAATTAGTCGCTTTTGTCGAGTTTAAAATTTTATAAGGCTTTAAACGAGCGATCTTCCTGGTAGGACATATTATATAATAATATGTGTTGCATAAACATCTATACATAAAAATATCCCCTCCTTGCGTCGTATTCTTCATTGCTGAGGGTCGTGACCACCCGTTTGTATCACCTTCGCACGCATGATCTTTCTCCTTCATTCTTGTCTCTGGCGTATATAAGTATAGTGTATGAAAAAATTAACTGATTCGATTTTTTTTTTAGATCTAGATGAACGTATCAATTTAACACTCGGGGTTTTAAGTGATTATAAGACGCTATAATAGCCTCACAGGATAGACCTTACAGGTCACCCACCCTAACACACGAGACTGAAGTCTCTGGAAGTTTTGGATGTTGAATAACTGCTCTCTCATTCTTCAGACAATTTTCCCAAGCTAAAAACCTACCCACTTGATTACTTTAGCTCGTTCATATTTGGCTATCCCGCAATTTCAATCGAAGGCGACTAGCGGCCATCAATGTTACACAGTTTAAACTACATTACGTCCAAGGTAACCAACTTTCGATGATAATCAAACGCGCTGGAGTACATTTCCTTTTGTAGATGCCAATTAACAGTTACATACTTATGATGTCTTACCTTTAATGTTATCGTAAAAAAATACAGAACCACATGGTAAATACAAGATCTTATTACAGCTTTACTAAATAACTAAAAATGTAAAAGTTGAAACTAGTGTGCTTAGTGCGAGTTTCTTAACGTTCTCGATAGCGTAAAAGTTAACAGAATTATGCAGTTGGAACAGCGCCCCTAGCGGCAAATGTACGCAAACGATCCTGTTCCATACATATATGAGTTAACTTTTACGCTATCGAAAACGTTAAAAAACTCGCATCGAGCACATAGATTCATTGTCGGAGCAGAAATGTAACTTTAAATTAATCTGTCAGTGTAGTTGATTTGTATTGAAAACGTTATGAGAAAAATCATTTTCATCGAACTATAACAGTTTACGGTCCTATTAACAACTCACGGACACCTGCGAGATTAAAATTCATTCATGCGCCACGAACCTTTCATAATCCATTTTATGCCCTGCGATGTTTTGTTTTATTCAAAACAACGTCGGCATAACAGTAGCTTCGTTATTCTGCTAAAAAGCAATTGTCTACAAATAAAAAAATATCCGATAATACCAGGAGAGCGATGACTACGTTCGTTTATTTTAAAACGGCTTACTTAATTACAATTTGAACTGCACAAAATCCGTATTAATGCGTAAGATCCTTTTTAAAGCAAATTCCCAAATAAAAGACTAAATCCGTTGTATAATTATAATTATAGTTAGTTGCTAATCAACAGCAAAATTATTAAAATTTATAATACGTATGTATGTATAATAATGTATAATGTATGTATAATAATATATCCGGGTAATTATCACAAATAGACATTTATTTTGGCTTCAACTGCGGGAATGCCTTTATGCAATACAATTGAAATTTCCACCTTACACCACATCCTTATGATGTCAATAACCACTTATCCTACAGTTGTCAGGCCGCGAGTTTGTCTGCACGTCCAGAGTAAATAATCTATATATCTAAAAATGAATTGCTGTTCGTTAGTCTCGCTAAAACTCGAGAACGGCTGGACCGATTTGCCTAATTTTGGTCTTGAATTATTTATGGAAATCCAGAGAAGGTTTAAAAGGTAAATAAATATGAAAATACTCGGAATTAAATATAAAATAACAATTTTGTTTTTCCTTTGATGTGTCCTCCGTCGGACGGATTCCTTTTGTTTGTTTTAAGTTTCTTTTATATAAAAGTTTAGGTCTTCTATTTATCAATTGAGGCACTATGAAGTCTGCCGGGTCAGCTAGTAAACAATAAAACACGATTGCCAGAATACATACTCAAAATGAAATTATTTAATAAAATTATTATAAAACATAATTATTGTCACGTATTACCACGTCATTACCAAATAATGATTTAATACATTCGTTATTAGACAAATAATAAAAAAGGACACATGACAACAACCAATTATGCTAGAAATCATTTTTAATAGAACCAACATAATGTAATTATAATTGCATACGTCAATTATAATATAAGAGTCCGGTCGGCAATCACGAGTTCTTCCTTTACCTTTCCATAAATAGAAAATAAAGTGGCCCGAAGGTTTCTGAACGAAACAAAATAGAAATACGGGTGGCCGCATCTTAATGGATGTTTGGCGCTAGCAATGAGGATGTGGTGCCGGGATTTTATTGAACTGAATACTACTATTAATATCGAAGAAACTAATTGACTAAAACTAAAGAAATTGTCGATAATCCCATTCTCACGGATCGTTTGGAACCTCTGGGTCTGCGGAGGGACTTCGTTTCCCTCTGTATTTTGTACCGTATGTTCCATGGGGAGTGCTCTGAGCAATTGTTCGAGGTGATACCGGCATCTCGTTTTTACCATCGCACCGCCCGCCACCGGAGTAGAGTTCATCCATACTACCTGGAGCCACTGCGGTCATCCACAGTGCGTTTCCAGAGGCCTTGTTTGCCACATACCATCCGGCTATGGAATGAGCTCCCCTCCACGGTGTTTCCCGAGCGCTATGACATGTCCTTCTTCAAACGAGGCTTGTGTAGAGTGTTAAGCGGTAGGCAGCGGCTTGGCTCTGCCCCTGGCATTGCTGAAGTCATTAACCATCAGGAATTTCATTTTATATCCAATGCTTTTACGATACCAATACCTATACGATTGACGGAAAAACCATTTGGTGCACTGACCTAAATAACAATTACGCGGTCGTCAAAACAAATTCTAGGATATACTATAATTAAAATAATCACCGTCTTGTCTTGTTGTCGTATTCATAAAACACACAATAGGTACGCCACAGGACACGTCACGACAACGTATACAGCGAGCCTTCATTATCTTGTCTAGTCTTTTGCAGTCCCGGATCGTCACATCACTAGTACAAGCCACGAATGTCAGATTCCGAACAAAGTCACGACAGAACTCCATCCACTATTCAATTATCTGCTCTTTGCAATAAGACAAGACCGTAATTGTTGAGACTGCGTTTAGGTGTACGCAAAGAAAGTTGAGCAAATTGTAATGTTACAAAACGGCAAATCGTAAAATGAAATTAACTCTGGAAATGTCAATTGTCAAACCGGTTTACTGGGTAGGATTAAATGGATATTTTAATTATGATCTTATAATTGGTTAGGAGGAATATATTATGTCATCATTGCCCCATAATTACGAAAGTGCTAATTAAAAAAATAATGAATCCGAAGTATTTTAAATGAACGAACGGATTTTCATTGCGTATGTGATGATACTCTTGTTGCGAAATAGGACTATGATGTGGCATTGTACCGATACAATTGAGATGTAAATCGTAGATCTCACGAGGGATAGTGATACATTGCGGTGTCATCACGACAGTGCTAAGCGTCAGGTGGGACATGAACGTCTGCCTATTAATGCTGATATAAAAAATAGATCAAATATTAAAGAACTTTTTTATAGAGCATCGAATCCTAACAACTTAAACTGTACTCACGACAGTTTTTACGCCATAGACTAACTAAATAAAGAGATACTTTGAAAATAGTTTACATCAAATAAGCCCCATAGACACAGCCCACTGAGTTTCTCGCCGAATATTCTCAGTGGTAGATTCTGCGAAGCACTTGCTCTTACTAGGGCTAGGTTTTGCAAATTCTCACAGGTTGAGCTCTGAGGTCACCTACACGTCCGGTCGTAGCTAAAATAGGCCCTTAGGCTACCAGCGAATAAGTAGGGGGAAAAAAGGATAAAAAGGTTGCTCTGTACGTAAAAGTTTTTGAAGTGAAACTTCTTTATCAACGTAGGGAGGAAAAAACGTATGTAACGTTTTTCGGTTACGTGCCATCTTATTTTCTTCCGTTACGCACCATGTTTATTTTATTTCTATTTAGTTTGTTATCAACAGATGTTGCTGCACGTAAATTCAACAATTCCTGAATCGCGGTGACGAGATGTTACACATTTGATAGACGTTTTCGTATTTCTCTTGCTAAATCATACTTACCCGGCGTCGGAATACCGTGATCATGCAGGCGGTGCCCCCGGGATGCGGCTGCTCCATTGCACTGCGGAGTGGTCAATTGACCCTTGCGATTATTTTTATATTTTATAAGTTTCACTTCTACCGTGTGTGACTTGCACACACACACACATAAATTTTTTTTACGTACCAACACATTCTGTTTCAAAAAAACGCACTACTACCATTACTAGCCTTTCTTATTTCCATTACACAGATCGTCACGAATCATTATTAAAATGATGTTTTATAACAATCAGATCCGGTCGAATCGTGGAAACGTAACTGTATCGATTGTTATTGAACGATTTGCCAAAAATAGGTTATGAATTGGCACTAAATCGAATCATTTGTAAATGTTCATTTCTAGAGCACGACCATTATATTATGAACGGGAATGAATTTTATTATTGTCTATTACAAAATCGTTTATCCTCACTCGTCTGCTAACAAATAATATTATTATGGTATTTCAGCTTGATAAAATATCGATTAATTTAAGGATTTACGACCGTATTAAGTATGTCATGGAATCTATTATGGGTTAGAGAAATAGAATTTGAGAATCACTGGGGACCTTGGCAGGAACGTGGGGAGCTAAGTTGTGTGAATTATTTTATTTTGTTAGTTTAGATTTCTGCAGGATTAGATGTGCAATAACTGTTATCTTCTTTGAAAGTCCAAAAATATGGGAAAATGAAACAAAGCCGCCGGACGTTGCAACTCAGGTTCTTCCAATAAGTCCGCTTAAAAAGTTTAAATAAAAAACCACCATTTTAGTGAGACTTTATTTCATTTCATCTCATCTCGTTAAATTATTTTCATCCCAAGGGATTAAAATCTCGATTCAATCAACTTCACCTCATTTCGCTTTATTAGAACAGAATATAAGAAAAAAATTGAGAGTTGGCTTAAAGGTCTCGTTACCAGACCATAAAACAACAAAAAAAGAAGAAGACTAGATTGGGATTGTGAAAACGGTTATATCCCTAAGTAACTGTATTGAAAACGCAAAATATTGATCGAATAGACATGTTGAAGGTATGTTAAATAACTGTCCATTTTATAACACGGTGTTATTTCTACAATGTACAAGTAGAACGTGACCACATGTTACAGTATTCACGTGCATGGGTGCTGCCCGCAGAACCTGAATCCCGACGTATAAGTCGATACGAGAAAATCGAGCTTCTTAATTTGTTAACCTTACCTTACAACGACTTCAGTACAAACATCACGGTAAATTCATTAATTAGACAGATTTCATCTATATATCCATCTATCTATATATATAAAAATGAATTGCTGTTCGTTAGTCTTGTTAAAACTCGAGAACGGCTGGGCCGAGTTGGCTAATTTTGGTCTTGAATTATTTGTGGAAGTCCAGAGAAGGTTTAAAAGGTAGATAAATATGAAAACGCCCGAAATTAAATAAAAATAACAATTTTGTTTTCCCTTTGATATGTCCCCCGTCGGACGGATTCCTTTTATTTGTTTTAAGTTTATTTTATACAATAGTTTAGGTCTTTATAAGACTTTCTCGGCATACTCGAAATACGACAACACTATCAACCGATACCACTAGTAACCATAACAGTAATTAATTTGTATTATGCAAGGCTTAATGATTTCAAACAAGGATATTATCGCCTTTAATTGCAGTCCTCAGTGGTTAGAGACAATGCTAGTGGTTCCTAACAGGATACCACTGAAAAATGAAAAGGGAAAGAAAAAAGAAGTCGCATTGCATAATATAATAATAATAATAATATCATTGTTCCAATAGTTGTGTCGGTACACGGCTTGATAGCGAAAAGTTTCGATCAACATCTTAAGAAACTTTCGTTATCCAGCTGGGTTAAGGGCCTAATACAGAAAGCAGTTATCCTTGATACTGCACGCATTGTGAGGAGGTTTCTCACTCTGGAGTCCTAACCACTGGTGGCTTGTGTCGTAGACACCGCCATCAGCGGCAATCTATTTTTATATAGTGTTTTTTAAAAATTGTATTTTTAATATATTTTTTAAAAAATATTATGTAATTAATAAGATTTTAAATGAATATAAATAAATAATAATATTTACAATTCATTTAAAAAGATCTGACGTGAGTTCTCAATAACCTAGATGGAACGCGGATGACTTTTACCTGTTTAACTTCGTGTTATATTGCGTGCGTATAAATATGAGTATGAGAGAAGTATTGTTTTTATATAGTGTTTCACTAATTCACTAATTTATAAGGACTAGTATAATAATTTGATTGCATAGATGGGTAAACGAGCTCACGGCCCGCCTTGTGTTAAGTGGTAACCGGAGCCGATAGACGTGAGGTCGAAATATAAATGTTATTAAAAAGGCTGTCCCGCAGTTCAAACGGGAAGGGTTGACTAACGGGCGGAATAAATAAAATATGTGTTTGACTATTTCACTTTCATTTAGATCTTATTTTCACTAATTTATGAGAGTCATCATCTTCTAGAAGAGATTGCTTTGAATGTTAGGACTATTATAGTTTTGTGTTTTATTGTGTTACTAGCGACCCGCCCTCGCTTCGCTTCGGGGACTATCATTTATTATTGATTTTATTGAATTATCTTTTATACAAATCAGAACCTGAGAAAATGATGTATTATAGGATATTGTATAGCGGATTGTTTGTAGTACCACCATTAGGCTCTAACACGTGGCTTTGAAAATGCTTTGTCAGCACTGCCATTCCTCTATCTCTTATCGATTGCCTAGTCACTTCTACTACTACTGGCTACTACTTCTACTTCTGGCAATTCGTAGAGCTACAAATGTACTTTACGCCCTTTCAATGACTACAACAGCATTTCAATTGAAGCCTGCCAACTATTTTGCTACAGACAGGTGTTGGTAACAGGTCATTGTTTTTCAATATACTTACTTATCTTGAAAGTTGTCATAAAATTTTCTTGAATAGCTTTTGTAGTTCCAAATGACGTCATTTAAAAGCAATTATTGTATTGCTGGATATGAGTCAAAAAATGCTTAGAATCTGAATTATTTCCAATGAATGTCCCATTTTCAAACCAAAGAATGTAGTGGCTCCGGTGGGGGGGTACCGATTGCGTCAATTTGACTTGACCGCCCATACAACATAATCCAGGAGCTTCATTTTTATACTTAAATACCATGAAATATTGGCACACAACGTTTATTTGTCCAATAGCAACGGTTTACCGTGAACTGTGAAATCCAGTTTTTTTACATTCTCTTAAGTATTTTATCAATACAACTTCAACCGAAGCATTTGTTTTAAACGATATACAGTTTTTTGACATGCTCTTTGAGGATATTTGCAGCACGCATTCTGTCAATGTTATGTCAAACGCCATAAGGTTACATTAGAAAATTATTAGAAAATTTAATGTGGTGGTTAAGTTTTCTTAACTTTTCTAATTTTCCGCGCAATTTTCTTAATATTTTCTTTCATAAGAACATTCTCCTGATGATAACTAACACAAAAAAAAAGAATTAGCGCAATCGGTCCAGCCGTTTGCGCGTGATGTCGTGACCAAGGCAAATAGGGATTCATTTTTACATATGTAGATTTAAAGTATTATACTATTATTATAGTCTATAGAGTATAGTCTACTTTCTCGGTCTACAATAAAATAGAATCTACAATCCTTTGATAACCCGATGTTTTGACGTAACTGGATTTGGTAGTGGTAGTTCATTCCCCTTTCGACTTTTAACGGTAATAGTACGCCCTGCATGCCAATAGCCACCAAGTTTACCGGCAACATCACCTGTGTGCTTAGTGCGAGTTTCATAACGTTCTCGATAGCGTAAAAGTTAAGCCAATTTTGTATGCAGTTGGATGCAGCGCCCCTAGCGGCAAACGTTCGTAAACGATCCCGTTCCATACAAATGTGAGCTAACTTTTACGCTATCGAGAACGTTAAAAAACTCGCACTAAGCACACTGTTTAGCTGAAGTCGTGCGTTCTACACGTTTAGTGACGGCCAATTATTAGCATACATTGAAATGAAATGTTTCGTATATTTGCATTTTAAAATTTAAATGTTCAAATGATGAATTCTTATAAAAAATATTATATCAGAATAGAGTATTGTTTTGTATTTGTAGAGTGTACTCTTTGTAGTCTTATCGATTTACTTTTTTTTTCTCCTACCTATGCTGATAGCCTTGAGAGGCTATATCAGCTTCGCCTTAACGTGTAGGTTAGCTCACGGGGCTCAAACCGAAGTGGTGCTAACACTGGCCCTAGCAAGAGCAGTGCTTCGCAGAATCTACCACCGGATCGGAAACGCGACCCACTGAGAAAATCCGGCGAGAAACTCAGTGGGCTGTGTCTGTGGGTTAATTCGCTCGTCGAGCCCTTCTTCGCAAGCGACGGGTTCGACGAGGGCGGTGACCGGTACTTGTGGGGCTTAAAAGCACCGTTAATGGATCAGGAGGATCCGTAATGACGTGTTTTGGGCATCGATATACGTAGTGCGTTTTGTTAAAAACAGAAATAATCCAAATTGTCGTTCATTAAGCGCGTAATCAATCATATCATCACTAGTTACATGGATAGATTTCGGGTAAATCACTTTGTACTAAGTCTAAGACTATGACTAAGACTATGAACTTAACTGCCATGTACAATAATTAGTTATTAAAATTCTGTATGCGTGAGAATTTCCGACATACATTGTAATCATTTAAAATATTATTTTCGATAAAACGAAAGGACCTTTTGCTTGAGAGAAATCAGTTGAGTAGGTCAGGCGACAAGTGAAATTATCCGTTATAACCATGTGTTTATGATATTACTTTGCACATTAAAATTTGAATTATCTTTCAACGTTTTTTTTTTTATATTAAAGTAGGTATATGTACTTTTTAGAATTTGGAGATTAAATGAGATTTATATATATATCTTACCGTACTGATTTATAACCAATGCAATATAACAATTATAGAATGTGCGACTAAAATGTAATATGTATATAAATATATTATTTTTGATATTTTTTATTTTAATAGGTCGTAGTTTTCAGTTTTTCTGTGTCATCTGTTGGTAAGCTGCGTGCTGTGGCAGTATTCAAATACTTTTGCTCGCGGGTACATATTTTTTTAAACTGGTGGTAAGGGGTATGTATGTAATTATGTATATTAAGATCGTTTGAGCAGGTTTGATTATGCGCCCTATTTCTGCTACGAAGTAGTCTAGCGTTCGTTATAACATTTGAAGGCCAACAGTTATACAATAGAATTTGGCCTCCACATTGTGATTGTGATGTTACTGGTCGTAGGACCTCTTGTTTACTGGTGGTAGGACCTCTTGTGAGTCCGCACGGGTAGATACCACCGTCCTGCCTATTTCTGCCGTGAGCAATAATGCGTTTCGTTTTGAAACGTGGGGCAGCCGTTATAATTATACTGAGAACTTCTATCTGACCTTCGAACTTCTATCTCAAAATGGGTGGCGCACTTACGTTGTAGCTGTCTATGGGCTCCAGTAACCACTTAACACCAGATGGGCTGTGAGCTAGTCCACCCATCTAAGCAATAAAAAAAGACCTACGGCAAACCCTAAATACAAGGCGACATGCCTTGAAGCAGTAATGCGTTTCGGTTTGAAAGGTAGGGCAGTCGTTGTACTGTAAAAATTGAGACTTAGAACTCATGCCCCAAACAGAGTGGCGACATTAACGTTGTTGATGTCTATGGGCCCCCGTAACCACTTAGCGCCTGACCGTGAGCCAGTCGACCTATGTAAGCATTAACGAGACGATCAGATTATTCACCCATGTAGGCTATAAAAATATTACGATAACCCGTCGCTTGCGACGAAGGACTCGACGAGTAAATTAACCCACAGATACAGTCCACTGAGTTTCTCGTCGGATTTTCTCAGTGGGTCGCGATTCCGATCCGGTGGTAGATTTTACGAAGCACGGCTCTTGCTAGGGTTTATGTTAGCAACATCGTCAGGCTTGAGCCCCGTGAGCTCATCTACTAGCTCGGCGACGCTGACATGGTCTCTCTAAACCATCAGCTTAGGTTAAAAAAAAACCGATATGTCATTGTTACCTCGACTATAATGTACCTTACAATAAAATCGTTCACCTCTTTTCTCTTAACGTAGGCTAGTTCACGGCCAACGTGCTGTGAAAATTTCAATTTCACTTAATTTAACTTAGCCTATAAACACGAATATTTCGTAAAATTCTAATATCGAGAGTCATTCGAAGCAACGGGAACAGAGGTTAGTCGGATTATGTATATATTAATACGTGAAGCAAAAACTTTGTATCCCTTTTTACGAAAATTGCGCGGACGGAGGAGTATGAAATTTTCCACACTTATAGAGAATATAGAGAAGAAGTGCACAATGCTAATATATTTTTTTAAATAATGCATAAAAGATACATTAAATCAATAAAGAAAACATTACACACACTACATACCATGTATTTGACGCACACACGCATGCATACTATTTATTGTCAAACTTTTGTTCTTGACATCTGTGGTGAAATTGAGAATAGATAAAATTTTAATATTGTTTGTCTTTATTAATATTTTTTATAGTGTAGCCTTGGCGAAATTTGTGATTATAGAAGTATAAAATACAATTATAATAGTGTGCAAACTTACAATTCCAATTAATTATAGTCGAATTTCGACTACTGCGGGAGCTCTAGTGTAAAAGAAACAGGTCACTTTTGTCAAATGAAAAAAATTGAAACGCTGAACTATTGATACGAAAACATGTATTCATTCGTCTTTGAATAATTTAACTTACACCATAGATATACATCAAAACAAAAATAAGGAAGACATACCGAGTCACAATACAAACGTCGACTTTCATTTTGTATTTACATACGTACATTAAATACATATAAAACTATAAAATGTATGTATTAAAATATATATATATATCGTTAAATGCACTTGTTTTAAATGTTACATGAGTATATCTCGTAGAGAATTGTTATGAGTTGAAATAAAAAAAAAGTGCAGTCAATCATGATTGTCTATGAAATATACTGGTAATATAAATGACATAAATTTCAACTGAACCCTTTTCACATCTTATTTACTAAGATTATTACGATCTTAATTTAGTTCAGTTTGTAGGTAAAAATTTTTTACAGTATACTTAACTCATCAAAATATTCACGTATATTTAGTAAATGCGTTTTTTGACAAGTGTAATTTTGTTACCAAATTTAAAAAGACAAAATTATTTGAACAGTCTGCGTAAAACTAAGAGATTGTTAACGTAATACTAACGTTCTATACAAATTCGATAAAAGCAAACAAAACAATGAACAAGTAGCGTTCTCTCAACCTATTATGGCAAGTTAAAAAATAAAACATAAATATAATCGTTTTTAATCTAAAACGTCTGGAATGATCGATCTAAAACTAATATAATATTTACACGATTTAACAGAAACAATTAGAAATTAGCCACTTATTTGTAATTCGGTTTTTCTTTCTGCTCTAACGACATATTGTTTTTTTTTTAATAGAACAGCGAGGAAGAATTTATTGAGAAAAGCACAGATATATTTATAGAATAGAAACACAACTAAGTGTTTTTATATAATTGTAAACAGACAAGAAATAGAAAATGTTTGACGCCACACAAATATCAAACTCATTTAAAATGGCATTTCTAAATACTATAAATTTTTATTTACACTTTCTAATTTTTCTTCTAACTTGACAAAAACGTTTTACAATAGTCGGTAATCGGACAAAAACGTTATACAATAGTCGGTTTTCGCAAAAACAATCAGCCAAAAACGTTATACAATAGTCGGTTTTCGCAAAAACAATCGGACAAAAACGTTATACAATAGTCGGTTTTCGCAAAAACAATCGGACAAAAACGTTATCCAATAGTCGGTTTTCGCAAAAACAATCGGACAAAAACGTTATACAATAGTCGGTTTTCACAAAAACGTTATGCAATAGTCTGTTTTCGCAAAAACAATCGGACAAAAACGTTATACAATAGTCGGTTTTCACAAAAACGTTATGCAATAGTCGGTTTTCGCAAAAACAATCGTACTTTATTTTATACATAACTAAATCAAATCGTAAAACTATCAAAAGCGATCAACTATAATATCGCATTTGTACTATACAGGTAAACGAACGAAACGGTATATTCAATAAAATTAAAACTTATGTACTTTAACTACAGCATACAACTGTACAGTATTTACTCGAAATATAATTATTTATAAAAAGTACATAAGGCAAATTATAGGGCAATTAAAAAACACTAGTAGAGAAACATTCGTCTTAAAAATGTTTTCATAATTCGTATAACAATACCCAACTTATAAATTAACGTTATTCTCGATTAAAAAAAATATATATTTTACAATGTCATTAAAATTTTTCATAATATCTTGAAGATATACAAATAAAATAAGGAACAAAATTTAAAACATAAACAATAAATCACACGAATCGATTCTCAAATCGATATAATATCGAGTTATCGGTTTTGCTTCACACTTTCTTATTAGTTCGTACTCAATCTTTATCTCCGACGAATCTGAAGGTATCCGGGGGTGGTTCCTGCATGCAGTAACCGTGGTACGTACGGATGTCTTCTGAAGCGTACGTGATTCCCGGGAGGACTCCGGGCTCTGTGTGATGCCTAGGGCAGCTGTGGTCCCTTGGACACTGGCAGATGGTATTGGCGTTGACTTCGTCGATCTGCTCGTGACGTCGTCTCGCGCTGAACAACTTACAAGGCTCCTTCCTTGAGCAACGAAGCCTCTGTGAATGAATAGGCAATAATTATAATTTAGCAGGTCACTTGCCTTAACATTTAAAATTCGAGAATTTAAATACTGGCCATGCTTAATCAAACCTAGAACTTACGACGCTGTTTTGAATTTAAGGTTTTTTTTTCTACCTAAGCTTGTAGATAGCCTTAGAGAGCTATGCCAGCGTAACCGAATCAGTAGGTGAGCTCACGGTGCTCTAACCTGAGGACGTTTCTAAGACTAGCCCTAGCAAGAGCACTATCAGATCTGCCACCGGATCGGAAACGCGACCCACTGAGAAGATACGGCCAGAAACTCAGTGGGCTCTGTCTGTGGGTTTTAAACAGGTTAATTTATAATATATTTAAATAATTCAATCTACGTAATGTAATAAGGAAAGCAAACTGTTAATCGATAATACGATGACACGTAACGCCATCTATCGTCGTAACTGAAAATCGTGTCAACGACTACTCACGCTTTGTGGTGAGCAACCAAACTGGTACTGGTTCCCTTGTTCGCCGCTAGATGCCGTGTACGGTAGCTTCTTTAGCAGATACGTGACCGAGAACTTGGGGCAGTGACAGTTGACGATCTGCTGAGTCGCGTTCGTATCGGCAAACGTGTAGATGATCCACGCTGCGTCCTTGAAGTAACGGCATTTAGGCAACCTCTTCACTGGCTCGCAAGTTTTGTACAAGGTCGTCTTGTCGGCCAGCGTGTGGTTGTCGTCGGCCGACAGTTCGCTGGAAATAAAAACGGTTCATTGAGCATGTTCCGGGAATGTGACATCGTAAGAGAGACGGAATACATGCTTTCACATTCGAGATATTGTTGTTTAATGTCTTATTTTTGGTTTCTTTGAATCGGTTTTCCGTTAGTGTGCTTAGTGCGAGTTTTTTAACGTCCTCGATAGCGTAAAAGTTAGCTCATATTTGTACGGAATGGGATCGTTTGCCTACGTTTGCCGTTAGGGGCGCTTTTCCAACTGCATACAAAATTGGGCTAACTTTTACGCTATCGAGAACGTTAAAAAACTCGCACTAAGCACACAGAACTAATTTTAAGTCTTTAACATTTTTTACATTTTCTACAAGATTATCTAATTTTTAAAGTGGTATCTTGCTAATGCTAATGTTATGCAACTTTTCATAAGTTTTTACAAAATTATTTTTTTATGGATACCTTTCATACCTCGAACACGGCCTGTGTCCTAAGCACCGACATTTCTTCTCTATCCACGGCTGGGAAGCGTCGTAGAGGTCAACCTTACTGCAGACTTGTCGCGGTCGGCAATCGGGCAAATCGTCCTCCGAAACCTGAAACGTAAAAAAAAAACGATGCTAAACTTTATGCTTGATTCCTTATTTCTTGTTCAACGACATGGTATTATTATTCGGGTCACTGACCACACCGGAAATGTGCCGTTGTATTACAATGTTATATAACGATGATAATACAAAACAATGTGACCAACACGTTTTACTATGAATCGAAATTCGCGCGCGCATCACTTGTAATTCAACGAACGTCATTTCATTCAAACAGAATTCGCTGCAGCTGTGTTGCGAGAATTCAGAAGTCAAAAGGAAATCGAATTCGACCACAAAAGACCAAGAGTCGCGATCGTGGGAAAAACTGTAAGGTGTTCTTAAACTTAGTTCGCACCTGTCCTCCGTAAGGGAATCATAATGGACGTACGAATCTGAGAGATGCTTATCCCGAATACACGTTATAAAGTAAGAACATGTGCGCTCTGAATCCATTCATTATAATTTTTTTGCTCGAAGAAAAGGACCATCGGTACTTCCGACCGGAAGGCATACCATTCGGCAACCTGTTAATGATGAGAACTTTTTTTTTCTGCGCACACACGTCTTGTAGGGCTGCTACCGCTGTAATTAAATTATTAAATCTCATTATGATTTTGACGTCTCAACGAATATTTTCATAAGTAGTTTAAACTACTCGTATTAAAATCTGATAATGAAGACGGCTTAATCAATTCTGTTTTACACCGTTTTTTGGCTTTTACTGTCGGGTTTGAAGCTAAGTGTCAACCCAAGGCGACGCGGTGTAACGATTTTTACGCAGCGTACTGATTGGTAGTAAACAAAATCTATAAGAGATATGTGGACAGAATACCTCACATATACGTATTTTAATTTGGTTCGCAAGCTACACTATTGCATTATTTATAATTATTGCTGTCGAAAATAATCGAGCGGTCAATGGGTAAACTAAATATTACGGCCACCCATGGACTCTGATATTGCCAGGGGCATGGCCAGGCCGCTACCATACAGTACATTCCTTAAACGTTTTTTATCTCCATCTCAATTAAGCTGTAGTGTTCTACATACAACGGTCTCCAGTTATAATTTCCTGTTTTACGGATACAGACATAAATGCATTCAAGCTAACTTCTTTAAAGTTACTGCCTCCGATCATCTCTACTCCTTTTTTTTCGGATAGGTGTCCGAAATTCGTGCTTGAGATTTCATCGCTTAGGAGGTGCGGGGAGTTTGTGGGTCGTGACGGTACGCAGATGCTGGGAGCAGACGCAGGCCCAAGGATGTTTTAAGGCCCTACCCACCAAACGACTCCCTTTGAACTCTCTCAACCAAAGTCAGATCAGAGAAGGGGGAAATCTCTAACTACTATATCAAGGAAGTATTGATAAAGATATAAAGCAAATACAGAAATAATGTGACCTATCGAATTATGAAAATTGCCAAATGTACCAGCCCTAAGTAGAGTGGGTGTGAAAAAAGTGTTTTTTTTTGTTGTTCCGGATATACTTCCCGTTTGTTGTGTATTGCGATAGATTTCGTGGAAACGTACTTAACTACAATCATCCGAAGGCCGGATACAGCCCTTTTGTGTCTCAAACAAAAAGCACACGATCCAAAGAAACACAATCTCTCCGGGTTGTTGACTTACACCGTGAGGGGTCTTTATTTAACGTACTCGTATTATAGTCGTGCCGAATGCTAATGTAGCCTCGTAACGAAATTACATTATGAATTGACATCCAATGAATCTTTATTAGGGTATTCAAAAAAAAAAAAATAGCATTGTCGCAGTATCAGTCTAACGTGTTCTATTAACATTCGTAACGTCAGCGCAGGAAATTGCGTCCTAACTGCATAAACGTTTCTCGTGAATTATTTGTATCAATCGTGTTTGCATACTAAAACAAAGTCGCCAAAAATAGCTACCCACTTAGTGCATACAAAATATAACCAGATAACAGTACCTTAATACCTAAATGAATAAGTGGAAACAGAAAAATGGACCTAGCAGTAGTCGACAAATAAATATTACCTGCTATAATAATCAGAGTTGCACCCCGATGGATTGACAATAACATCAAACAAATATCGCGACCCGATTGTACTGATGTGTTCAGGAAATGAAATCGTGCAGATTCTGTTTATAAAATCAGTCGAATTTAATATAAGGACATCCGCCAATCAAAAATGAGGGTCTCTCGCGTGTAACTAATCTGTCCTGGACTTAATTTGTGCTAATATAATCGATCATGTTTTCGAACCTAACCTAACCTAACCGAAAAAGCCTGAAGCGTAATGAATAAATTAAACTTTAATCAACCGCCTTAGAAAATAACAAAACAACGGTATAATAACGAAGATATTTTATTTTTATTAACAGTTTTAATGTTAATCGACCGGGTAACACCGGGTAACGGTTTTAACAATTGTTAAAGGCTGCCTACCCAGCATCCCCAATTTTACCCTGAAATCCTTAATTATTAGAAGTAGAGCGCGTTAGGCCGGCTTAAAGGATGGTCTATACTCTATATTAAAAAAAATGAACTCGCATCACAAGCTGCCCGGCGTCATTACGTTATCGCATTGGATTCCGTTAACCTTCTAACACCCGATGATCTGTAAGCTCATATGAACATCTCCTAAAAAAACTTCAGATTACCCCAGCGAACTTAGTGACAATTAATAACAATATTTAAATAGGCACGGGCCAAAACAGCTTAGTACCCGTTTAGCTTATGTTTGTCAACCGTTTTTCCTTCTTTTTTTAGCTTCTGGTAGCTATTAATGGTCGAAATTATTTTATCAGAATGTCGATAATAAATCAAAATAGAAAATAATTGAATTTATGCTTTGGAGCCTCCGTAATTACGGTAGTAATTCGATCATAGGGCGAAAAGCGCCAAATGAGAAGGTTGTTAGTTGAATTTTCTTTGACTTTTTTTTGGCACAAAATGCCTTGAGGCTGAGCGAGGTTCGGGAACGGTGCATCCGGTCCAATGGACAGGTGCCATCGAGCGCCGCGCCCACTCTAATTTAGGCTTGTTGAAAAAATATCGATATATCGATATAATTTTTTCAATGTATCGATTTTTTTGATCGATATTTAATACTTCGATATATCGATGTATCGATATAAAATTCCAAATATCGAAAATGTATAAAAATCGATATTTTTTTCAATACAATAAACATTGATGTGTTTTAAGATTAAAAAATATAACATAGAATACTTTTTTATACTATCATCTTTTTAACAAATTATATTTTCTGTATTTTTTTTGTTTTTGATCGACTCGATTTGCCATTTTAAAATTTGGTTCTTAAGTTTCTTAAAATTAATTTTTTCTAAATTTCTTAATAGTTGTTCTTGATTTATTAAAATGATGTCTATTAATTAGCACGAATATTCCCTGTCAAGTCATACCGATATATCGATATTTTTTAATAAAAAAATCAATGTCGATGTTGATTTTATCAACAAATATCGATACTTTATTGCATTTCGGACATCCCTACTCTAATGAAATAATTTGTTACTCGCTACGACCTTCCACAACCTTCACTGCACGACCGTCCTCTTTTAACCAATGCTATAACCGTATTGTTCTTTCTCTCGCTCATTCGCTTTTAAATCCATTCTGTAGTTTTCATTTGTTAATTTTAAAACCTATCTCACAGAATAATTCAATTTCCTGACTTCCTATTCGCTTAAGTACCTTTAACAATTTAAATAAAGAACATGACTTAAAGGTACTTTCTATTTGTCGTTTTGTTAAACCTTAATGGTCCTTTTATAAGCGTCAATTTTCAATATATCTTAGGCTAGTCCATATTGGTATTCGATCACATTACATCGTTCGACAAAACAAAAGACGTCAGTGTGTAAGATGCGCGACGTTTGACCGTATGTTTACACGCAAAACCCGCAGATTAATAAATTTAAAAATGGAATGTTGCAACAGTAGCCTTGTTCAACCAAAACCGAGCCGCAGCAGTTATTCTCCACAAACCAATTTGCTTAATTACACAACCAAAAGCAAATTATGGGCTCAAATAAATTACAATGTTTTTTTTTTGTGTGTGTATGTGTGAGTGTGTCCGGTACTCAAGGAACACAGGTAGCCGGACGAGCCTAATCCGATCAATTACCACCATTATTAGCCAACATCATTTTTATATAATATATTTAATAAGCATCCGGAAAATTAACGTGTGTTTCGTTGCGTAAGTAATTTAAAAGGCGTTATTTAATGGAAAAATTGTTGTAAAAGAAAATTACTAATAACATGACGTAACAATTAAAGTTTTATAAAGGTGTGTGAGGTTTTATAAAGGTCATGAACGTGTATTATTTGGGATAGATATATCGCGATTCTTATCCCGTGTCAGAGTTGTAAGATCGATACTTAGCTATTTAAAATATAACTGTTCCACACGTCCTTACGGATCCATCAGATCCTAAACCTTTGCATTAGACGCCTTCAGCTCTAACTCTAGGAGCAGCCTTAGGGACCCCGGTAACCTTACTCGTCGAACTCGACAAAGAGTTCGACGTGCAACCTAACCTATGAATCAGCCCACTGAGTTTCTCGCCGGATCTTCTCAGCGGGTCGCGATTCCGATCCGGTAGTAGATTCATTCGCGAAGCGGTTGCTCTTGAGCAGTTGGGTCTCCTTCGGAGGCGCTCGGACAGCTAAGTAGCAAATTCCAGCCCTCCTGGCTGAGCCTTTGCTCGTCCACCTGTCCTGGTGAAACTGAAAAGGCCTCTGGGCCGCTAGTAGTCCTTCAATCATAATAAAAAAATAACTGTTCTCGATATAAAAATGTTTGAAAAGAGCAAAAACAGTGTATATACTGACTGACTTGGTGGTGCAGTAGTTCGCAGCCCTGATTGTTGCCCAAAGGTCGTAGGTTCGAGTCCCACATCGGGCAAACATTCGTGTGATGTACAGATTTGTTTGCCGTTCATATGAGTGTTTATCTATACTTCTATACTAATATTATAAAGAGGAAAGATGTGTTTG